AGTATCTATTGGGATTCATTGCTGTATTTCTGACAGCTACCTGGGTCAGAACTCATCATCTGAACTTTCATAGTCAAGATCTGCGTGATCTAGGTGACTCCCTTGATTCTCTGATGCTCTTTGCATGGAGAACAGAGCACAGAACACTTGATTCAGACAAAAGTGAAATATTATACCAGAATTTTTGCTGTTGAGGACAAAGGGATATGTGGTATTTGCAAAAACATGTCAGAATTGAATTTCCTTTCAGGGGTCCATTAGGTGAGTTACCCAACTCCAAAAGGGCCTCCTCACGAGATACACACTTGCAAATGACATACTTCTCCATGCACGAGTGGGAATGATCGGAGACCCTCTAATCAATCAATCTTTGGGATTTTTCACCTTACCTCTCAGGAGTACATCTCCCCTTGCAAACTGAATTTCCCCTAAGTCTTTCTCAGCTTCCACCAGTCCAAATTCAAAAGCTAGGCATCTGGGGACCCTTTCTTTAGACTTTCATGAACACCCACGCTGATGAGTCATTAAAGAGAAGTAAACACTTGTATCTTATGAAATATGGTAACTTCTGCAGGAAATGAGACTATAGGTGTGTTTCCACACCCAATAGGAAGTAAAGAATCAAATCTGATGGCAACTTGGTTCAGAACTCAAGTTCTCAAGTTTTATATTGAAGATCTCCATGATCTAGATGATTGCCTTGATTCTCTGATGCTCTTTGCCTGGAAGGCACATCCTCAAAGATTTAAGGGAACGTTTACCTTGCGAGTTAAGCCCTTCTTTTTGCTGATTGGATTTGATTCACTGAATTGTAAAAAGGAATCAAAGGATGACTCTGCTTGGGTTTCCCAAAGGGTGAAATTGAGAAAGGAGAGGATGAAAGTCTGTTCAGTTTGTCTTCTCCTGAAATGATTCTGATTCCTAAAAGGAGTGAATGAGTCCATAAAAAACAGTGTTGCCAAAGCCCTGACTTCACAGATCTTATAGGATGCAGTGTATATCTGGCCTGCCATGTCTGTGTACAAGTGTAACATTTATGCATCATCAAACATTAATGGACATTACAAGCATTCATATTTGTGTTGGACCTATTAATATAAATCTATGCATATAATGGACAGATTATAATATCCTGCTTAGAAAAAGGTTGTTAGAGGTATATTCTGGATCTACTGGTTCTGTTTATGGCACATATGCTGGGCAAGGGAAACCGCAGTGGGCGTGGCAGAAGAATGAACAAACATGGCTAACAAAACTAGAGGACTCAGTCATACGCCAGCTCTACATACATCCCGGATTTTTCAGGCTAGTCCTGAATTTGAGAAATTGCTTATTTTTAACAGGATTTGTTGAACTCCCAGATAAACTGATTTCCTAAGTATATTTGCATGAAACTTAACGCACACAGTTTCAAACCCGAAAACCCTGCTTTGTTAAGCTGTGCCACTTAGTTTCTTCTGAACACACTGTCCCCTTATATATGTATAGGCTAACTTGACAGCTAGGAAAAAGTGGAAGACAAAGCAAACAAGGAAGACTTTTAGGCAGAGTCTTGGGAAGACGGTCCTGAGGCCACTCCTTCGAGCAACATGTCAGCACGTACAAGTGCTAAGCTGGCCTCAGATAGCAAAAACACAAGCTCCTAGGTGCCTCTCTTAGATCCTTGTCTTCATCATAAAAAAGCTCTTGGGAGCACCACTTAAAGGAAATTCCTAACAGTTTCACAGTTAAATCCAGGAACTGTCCCTTTGATCCACAGTATCTGCTGTAAAGGATGCATTTCCCACTACATTTCAGCATGCCAGTGGCCACCCTCTGAGCTGTCTGTCTAATGAAAATGAAGACCAATGCCATTCAAAAAAAAATTAAGCAAAAGCAGCTTAATACTGCTCAACAGTGATCCTTAAGAGACAAAGCTACTAGAATCTCTCGTATGTTCAGAAGGTATCTGATTTGGAAGAGAAAAGTCACAAAGAGTAGGTAAAAGGGTACTTGATGTCCATAAACACCCTCTCCCAAGAGAATGTGGACCCTGACTGTTTATGAATCTCTCAGCACCGATCTGCTGGCCTCAGACCTACTTCCACATTGGACCAAGGCTCTACGTGCTCCTTAGAGTCAAATGTGCTTGGTTTCTCAGTGATTCACATTCAAGTTCTCAGGAAACTCCCAAAGCCAGAAAACTTAGGAAAATACTGTGGGTTATTTGATAAAAAATGATAGGACAGACATGAAAAAGGTAGCTTGGAGGTACCTACCCCATGCAAGGCATGGTGCTACTCCAGTGATGTTATTTCTTCCCTCAAACTTTCACAGCCTTAAAAAGATTCCATCTCGAAGTTCTGTGGAGCCATCCTTTGTTCCAACTTCATGGCTCAAAGGCTGCCCTGACTTTGCCATAGAACTGTCAACTTTATAGGATTTTGCACATGTGTTTGTTCTGGGTTCCTTTCCACAGAGAAGATGAGGGAGAAAGACAGGCTTTGCTTCCAACTCTGTCCTGTAACTGGCTTTATGTGCTTCAATAGAATATTTTTTAAAAGCTTCCTGCATATTTGATAACTAACAGTGTTTGGTTTTGTTTTTGTGTTTATCAAGAGATTCGTATTAAAAGAGGCACAGCCAACACAACTGTCCTTCATATGTGAGGAAAGTAAAATGGTTAAGCCATCAAACTGGATGAGAATACGACTGAAGTAATTTGGGGATTAAGAATGTCTATTTTGTTAGAAACCCAAATCAGAATTTTACGGATGAAACAAAGAAACTGAAGCGTAGATCAAACGATCTCACTTGATTTCACTACGCCAGGTGATGCAAACCAAATGTAAACAAATTTGACTCTTTGAATCTGGTTAAAATGTGTGTTGACTGTGCTCTTTTGTCAATATATACAGTAGTTGCTGCACATTACAGCCTAATCCATGATCAAATTTAGAGCAAATTATGAAACATACTTTGACACTTCAACAATGATCCCCACAGACTAGGTAGGGTAGAGCAGAGACTCAGCGGGTTCTGTAAGCAGCTGCCTTTAAGAGGATGGCTCCCACTACTCTTGGAAACATTTAGCTTAAAGAGTCTACTACAGAAGAGAAATCGGCAAAGTTCCCTAAGACTGGTACTTTCTTTTAACGAACACAAGGGCAGACACTGCAAGACATTTAAGGGGATTTACTTCTAGAGGCGTCTAACAGAATGTCTCGTGCATTACACGGCGAGGCCTGGAGAACACTGGAAGGAGTAACACTGAGAGTCTGCTCATTACCGCGAGGGCCTGGAATGTGCCACCCGGCTTTAGACGTGTCCCCTGGGAAAAAGGATCCACGGTCGGTTCTGCATCTCGAGGGAAAAGGGAAGCTGGCAAGGACGCGTCTTCAATTCAAACTGATTCCCCCAGCAGCATCCGTTCAAACAGTAACACAAATGAGAAAACTAGACGGTTACGAAGCATTATTTGGCAAAGACACAGCACCGTGCCTCTCACTGACTCACAACAGATCCTCTAAGCCTCAGCTAACAGATTAAGTCAACACAGAAATACATGTATTTTTTTTTCTTTTTAAAGAAAGGTCATTTATATCCTCTTTTACCATAAGACACGCTGGGGAGTTTATTGAAGGATTTGCTGAGGGTCATATCCTTATTTTTCACGTTTCCAAGGTTCTTCCTCAACACTGCCGTCGGCTGACTTTCCGTTGGTTGCCAAAGTTACCTGAAAATAATTATCATCAGCAACCAGCTTACAGGCCATGAACCAGAGAACCACCCCGTGGATTATGTGTAGGAGCACCAGACCCGGGCAGGAGACTACAAGAATTCAGTATCAATTCCTTCCAAATTGATTTCGAGCTGGTCTGGTGAACTGATTTGTGAACATAAAAAAAAATACGTATTTGCTTTATGGGGTCTTGAGGGACTTGAGAGGCCCTGCAAGTTAGGGGATAACTTCTACTATGCTTTTAGGGTTGAGATGGTGTGTAATTATCGAGAGATCCATCACACGCTAATGCAGTCCTTCAAACATAGTGCCCTCGTGCTACTCCATACAACCATAGAGGAAAAAAAATCCAGAACTAGGCAGCTAGTTCTACTCATGCACGTGAAAGGTTCAGTTGCAGTGAGGCCAGGTGGATTTCATACACGTCCAATTTTAAAATCAGAAATCGTGATGGTCTGGCTCTACCCAATAAGCTATCCAGGCCTTTAAAAATCAGACTGGAAAGGAGGGAATTAAAAGCCAGAGGTCAGTGACATGTATATGTGAATTCTTTCCATGCAAACATTTATTAATCAACTGTAATCACCAGACTGTCCAGATCTTGCTTCCCTGGCTCTTAAGCGAACTGAACCCTTACACAGAACGGGAGGGTTTCCCCTCCACTTCTAAGTTGTTTTCCTAGCTTACCTTCCATCTGTCTGTCTTCAAGGTCATGTGCAAACTTAAACCCACGACTGATATTCCACATAATGGAGAGACTGGATTTATGGAAGCATTAGGATATGGAGACATGACAAACGCAGCAATGTTTGAAAGAAATCTGACCTTCTCCTGACCCAAGTGGAAGTGAGACGCATGCATTATGAACACGCACAACATGCTAGCAACCGAAAACCAAGCGCCTTTCACGAACCAAGCAAATGAAAATAAAAATTACTCATTCCTTCAGTCCCCATGAAGCCCTCCCCCACTTTTTAAAAGACAAACCGTGCAACAAGCAATGACCACATCACATGCAGTTATTCTGATTAAAATTTTTAAAAAAAATTGCATAACTTGAAAGTATAGTTACAAGGCAAGAGTTTGAAAACAGAGAGACCAGCGTGACATAAGAATGCTTAAGGTGATTAAAGTTGTGACCAGAGCGGCAGCAAATTTGTTTCCCCTTCAGTGAACTGTCAGAAAAGACTGCCAAGGACAAACTGTCTGCCTGGAGCAAGCTGCCTGTTCACTCTGACTTTGAATGTGCCTATTTGGCTTTCAGTGATGAGCCAGGTCAATAGCTGGGCAAAAGTATAAATCACCATGTGGTGCCTTTGGAAAACCAGACAGAACTTGGGTGGTGGGAGGGGGGTGTTTTTTCAAATACTGGGCCCTATGTTTCAAAAGTTGCTGGAACAATAGTTTGGTTTTTTTTTTCTTTTTTCTTTTTTTTTTGCATTTCCTTTTTCTGGCTGGACGAAAGAAAGCAGGGATTCTGCTCTCCAATCCATTCTACCCCTCTCTGTTCCAACACCTGGGTTAATAGAAAAGCAAAAAAGGGAGTTTCAGTTTTTTAATAGTAAGACTGAGAATGGACCAGAAGGAAGTTCAAAGGCATGAGTAGAGGTGACTCAGATATTCTGGGAAAGTATGTAAATTCATCTCCACAGCTCTGGCTGGCCCCTATGCACATCAGTGTCAACTCACTTAATTGGTCTAGAGTGGGAAGAGTCAATCTGCCTCTCCTAACAACCTTCACTGAGCTGAACCCAATCACTCCACTAAGAAATGCAAACAGCCAGATAGTTATTAAACTAATATGGCCACTCCATGATTTCCATCACCTACTCGGTTTCACCATTTGACCATCTAAACGTAACTTCACCAATGAGTTTGCAGATGGGTGGTTCAGTGGTCAATTGCATAGAGAAACTGAGCCACTAACTCTACAGAACCGTCCAGCAAAAAAGGTTATCTTAATTAAAACATAGGGTCAAGATGCTGAAAGGACACACTTAATAAATATTTCTAAAGAGCCGACTGCATGCCAGGCACTGCTGTAGGGCACAGCAGTGATAAACAGGGCCATAGCCTCTCCTCATGGACTTACTTCCCAGAGACAGGGACAGTTGACCTATGTCTCCCTTTAGGACTTGAATTGTTTTGCTAAAAACAAAAAACAAATTTGTCCTGATGTGCTTGATGTCCTTTAAGGAAAAAATAATCCAGAGATTCTGAAATCTACTGGTATCTCCACGCCTATACACCTTCTTCAAAATGTGTCCTAAACAACATTGTTGAGAAGGCTCTTGAGACAGCTAACCACTGGGATTCTCATACATGACTGAAAAATCAGAACACACATATGGTGATTTTATTTTGTTTCATACTACTGTTTTTCCCTGGATGGCGGTAATTGGGATCAAGCCTTATCTCCACTACATAATCGTACATGCATTGTGCTGTCCTCCACTGTCTAAATCAGGGCTTTGCAGACTACTGGTACTTAAAAAAAACTTGATTAATAATCAAAATATTGGAGGAGGGCATAGGAATAAGAAGGAGGTGCTCAACCTAACCCCACAAGGCACACAATAAATACTTGTTAAATATAATAGTACAAAGAGCCATTCCATGGAATGTTGACCCTTGTTTGACCAAAAATAATATTTTGATGGGGAATAATCCAGCACATTCATTTAGATGTGGGAAACACTAACGTTCCAGGAGTACGTAGTATACGATTTAGGTGCATTTGAATTTCTAACAATTTTAATCATTTTTCCACTGAGTAGATTAATTTATGTGATTGCCTCTTGATAGGTGGGGGTCCCTCCCTAATTTGCATCAGAGCCCTGGTTAACCCACACAGATAGCTGATACGAGGGGACGAGCCAAAGATGGTGGCTGGACCTATGTTACAGTCCAGTAAAGAGAACTGCTTCTGTGCCGTCCTTAGTCATCTGGCAGAAGCTGTGGTGTATATTTGGAATGACCCAGAAATAACACAGGGAGAGACTAACTACTAAATGATGGGAGTCAAAAAGGTATCAGAAACCTGTGTTGGATTCAAATTGTCCTCAGTTGCTTCCTGGAACTATCTGAGCAACCCAACCCCGAGGGTTGATCCAGCTCACCTGCCAGGGTTTCGCCAAGCTTGCTTTACTCTGGTCATGACACTCTGTCTTTGACAATGTCAAGTTAGTTACAATGAAGGCTTGACAGAGCCCATCAGGCTTGAAGACTCAGCATCCAACAGCTTGGAAAAGAGTCCACAGCATCCATGCTTCAGGAAAGATGGTGCTGCCAAGCAGTGTGTGACAAGCAGTGTTTTCTCAAAGACATCTATGGATGACTGTCCTGAAGGAGAGTTATCCTTTACTTGAAGTTACTTTCCCCTTCTTGGAGCAAAGTGACTGCCAGGTCAAAACTTACCTTCCCACAGAAATAATTAAGAGAAAGACAGCTGCACAGAGTTACGTGGGCACATTTTTTTGACCAATATGTGAAATACAGCAAGGAGGAATCCTTGTGCTCTATGAATCAAATGATTCTGGGTATTTCTCTTGGTGTTTCACTTGAGGAATAGAATATGTGAAAGCCAGCAAAGCCCTAGGAACCACAAATTCTTGAGCATAGTGTTCAAAGAACTCTGATCGAATTTGTGGAGTGGGTGGACGGGGAAGTCAGAATGATTGTTTTATATCACATGGATGAAACAAGCAACTGATTGGCTCTTTTGCTGTTAGACTTGGTTTCTTGCCACATCAGACAAAGAGTTAGATGATCTGGGACTCCTAGAAGCTTGAGTTACATGATTCTTTAGAAAAATTAATGTGACAATAATACATGCAGGGCTTTTGTGTTTGCTTTAGGAAATCTAAGCAATCCAGCATGCACTATCATATACAGGTCTCGATATCCATGAATGAGAAAGGTACCTTGCACTCATCTACTATGACAGAGTTGTGTGCGGCATAGACACACTGGTTAGAGTTGCTTTCCCTATGGTTCTTCATGTCATCATAAATGGACTGAGTCTTGGTCATTTCAATATCTTCATGCATTCGGTGCTGGGAGTCAATGGTGTCCAGCTCAGACTTGGAGAGGTGATAGACAATCCCAGCCCCGAATGAGTCGCCCACAACATTGACAGAAGTTCTCATCCTGTCCCTGGGTACAAAGAACAGAAGACATTCAGTGAGGAAGCAGTGTGATGTGATGGCTGAGAGGTTAAGGTCTAGCACAGAGAGACCTGGGGCTGAGTTCTGGCTCTACCTTTCTCTCTGCCTGGTCTGGGGCAAGTGACTTAACTTTTATGAGCCTTGATTTCCTTGTCTGCCAGTTGGAGATAACACTCATATTTCTCTCATAAGCTTGCATGAAAATTAAATAAGACAATGTTTGTAAATTGCTTAGCAAAATATCTAATGAATGGTAAGCACCCAATAAACAAAAGCAAATAGATAGAAGGAGAGAAGGAAGAACTAGACAGAAATAATGTGTCCAGCTCTCAGAATTAGTACCCAGACTGCAGCCATTCCTAGCTCTGTCCAACAGTTCCTCTTGATTTAAACTCCAGATTACCTCCACTAATTCTATTTATTAATTTTACAAGAAAGAGCAACCACCTGTGAATTCTCTCATAATAGAAAATTCATCTTTTTGTAAGGGTCAAAACTAACGCTGCCTTCCCCCTGCCCTGGGACCTCCAGTCTCTCCCCACCACACACGTATACACAGACACAGCTGTGGGCTAAGAAACCCAGTCACAGTTTTCTCCCTGGCCAACAGGTGTAATGACTATGTGTCCTGGGAAAACCAGACTACTTTTTCTTGCTCACTCTATTAACCTAAAAAAAAAAAAATTAAATCTTCCAGAGGGCCTCTTGAACCAGCAAAAGTTGAGAAAACTCCTTCCTCCAATTTTGTTTCTCAAGTTCTGACCTGAAAAATAGGATGGTTGGTAACTCTCCCTCACTCTCCGTCTTGAAGGTCAGCGCCAGGAAAACAAATTAAGTTCTCAAGAATAACTCGTGTTCTCTCACCCCTAAGTTTAAATCATTGTGAAGAGTCCTTTTGACCCTATCTGTGAGATACTCAAAGTTCTAAAAAAAAAAAAAAAAAAAGGATGTTGGAAAATCACACACTAACACACACACACACACACAAAAGGAAAAGAAAAGGAAGGAGTTTTAGGTAGAGATGCTGTGGAGACATCTTAATCCAGGACACTCAAGACTTCAATTCAAAATAAGTAAATAAATGAAAACACTAGAATTAGTTTAAGGCAAAGTGGAAACTTCCATTGGTTCTTGGAACAAAGGCCTAAAATAAATTCTCGTTGCCATGATCAAATCTATTTCTCACTAGAGAATAATAATAATGAAGCTGCACTGGGAGGAGTCTGGCCTGGCTCTCTTGCAAGGAGCTGGGGAGCTGCCCGTCTGGTTTCAGGCAGGAAGATGTTGCCCATGAAAAAAAAAAAAAGATCAAAGCCTGGCTTCAATTCTCAGGCACATCTCTCCACCTGAGAACGCTCCTCTCCTCCCTTCTGCTTTAGAGACTCTGCCTCAGGGTGATAGAGTCTGTACCCGAAGGAGAACTGGGTCTTGAGGCCATCCACAGAATCAGGCACTTGAAGGAGAGATTGTGTAGAAGCCTCAGTGTCAGAGGATAAGAAGGAACACATGATAGTAGCTCAGAAAAAGCATGCATTCTGGGCGCAGGCTGACTTGGATTCAAATGCCAGCTTTTCCTCTAACCCGTTGGACAACCCTGATCATACTCAACATTTGTGAGTCTTAGTTGTCTCATCTATGAAATACAAATAATAAAAACATTCCCTACCTACGGGCTGCTGTGAAGATTAAACAAAGTAACAGAATGCTTAGCACAGTTGTAGACATTTAGTAAGAACTCACAAAACATTATTTCAGGATGTGTCCCTTTAATATTACTATTAATCTTATCAAATCAATTCAAATATATTTTTGGCAGCTCCTAGGCAGAGCATCCAAACACGCCTGGTTAAGCTACTATCTACCCATGAAAACATTAACCTTACTTACAGGACATCTCCTATGGCAGCAGTGCCAACCAACCAGCTGAGTTATCTGTTCACCATACAGTTGTAGTCTGCTTTGCTGCTTCTCAACTACACTTTCTCCTGAGTCATGCATCCAGCAGGAGCAAGTGCTGGGTGCCCTCAGGTTTGGTAGATAGGCAACTTTATCCATACCTGGGCCTCAGCAAAGGCTTGAATAGAAGTGTGTTGAGTCAGGTGCGAAGGGTGAGTCTGAGATGAGCTAGAGGGAAGAGAGAACTAAAACATGTGAATTCTAAGCGGTAGGTGCACCCAAGAACATTCACGATGGCTCATGAGCACAGTGAGCAACAGAAAACAGGAGCTGACTAAATCATGTGTGGCCGTGTCAGCCAAGGGCAGGAGTTAGGACTTTATCCCAAGTGTAACGAGGAGCCACCGAAGGGAAAGATCATGCTTGTTCCATTATCAAGAGTGGCTAGACTGAAAGAGTAAAATTCACTGAGGAGGCGGTGGACATGGAGAAAGATGGATTCGAGGGAGATTTAGGAGGCAGAATTACAGGACTTGAGGACTGACTGGTTATAGAAAATAAAAAAGAAAAGAGTCAAGGATTCTTCTCAGGTTTTGGGTTTGAGCAACCGATGGACAGTGCTACCAGGTGTAGAGGACATAACTGGCTGGGGTGAGAAAGATTCTGGTGTCAGCTTAAATATACTGAGTGAGGGTCATGACCCAGCCAAGGAGAGATGTCCCGCAAGTGCTTGGGAATAGGGACCGAAGATTAGGAGAGAGATCTGAGCTGCAGGTAGTGAATTAGGAGTCAGCAATGAGAGAGGCCCTGGGTGGGTGCCAAGAACCCTAAGGGAGACCAACGTTTAAAGAATGGGTGAAGGAATAAAAGCCTGCAAAGGTGGCAGGAAATTATAAGAGTTTGGCGAGAGCGTGTTTCAAAAATAGGGACCATGCCTATGACTGCCTGGAAGTCATGTAAGATAATGGAGAAAAGGTGGCTCTCAGTTTCAGCAATGGAGAGACCATCACTCACCTGACGAGGGTAGCTTCAATACAGAGGCAGGCACAGAAGCCAGCTGCAAAAGGTAGAATGTTGAATGAGAGATGAGGAGGTGGAGATACTAGGTGGAATCAACTTGTTCAAGAAGACTGACCGAGAAGGGGAGGAGAGGGAGTGGTAGATGGAGGCAGACAGAAGACAGAATTTCTGGTTTGCTTTTGAGACCCCCGGGGGGAATATCTGACCAATTCTGGGGAAGTCCAACTCTGACCAAAAGCAGGATATGGGGACTGATGGTTCGCATGTGGAAAGTTTCTCCACAGACAAATACTTTCATTTTCTCTCCCAACAGCCCTGACTGTTCGTGAAACCCTGCTGAAATCAGGAGTTTTTAGGCTACTTGGTAAAAAGAATTTTTGAGTGCTTGCTGTTACTCTTGGGTCTGGATGTGGCATGTCAGGTCGTGAGAAGGGGAGGGAGGTGAGAGCAGAACCTTTAATTGAGTGGATGCACTACAAGTGAGACAGCTATTTGGGGGCTACTGGGAATCAAGACCAAGAGAGCAGGACGAAGCTCTTCCACACTGAGGAACTGGGTCTGGTTCCCTGGAAGAAAAACAATTGTCAAGATGCTGTTTCTCTTTTTCTTTCTCTCCGTCTAAATCTTCTGGTAGGAAGACAGTGGGATTGTCTGAAAGTCCTGCTCACAGAAGAACAGAGCCAATTCATCTGGTGCCTTGTATTGGAGTGAACCACATGAAATTGCCATTTTGTGAGCCCAGAAAGGCCAACTATTGGCAATTTCATCTGATTCAGCTTAATACTCATAGAAAAAACCCTCGGATGCCGGGTGCACAGTGTGGCAGAGGGGTCACCTGAGGCCCCCAACCTCAAGACGGCTGGCATGATTCTGGGCATCAGCCATATGGGATTAGAGAAGGGAAGAAGAACCCACAGAAGAGTGTGAACTTTGGATTGGAGTCTGGGTTACAACCCTGCTTTCAGCAGGGAAAGGTACTTGGCCTTTTCAGCTCAGCTTTCTCATTTGTAAAATACGGAAAGTAAGACCTACTTCCAAGAGTGTTCGGAAGATAATAACTGCTAACATGTATGATTTACTTGTCCTTTGAGAGGTCCTCAGCCCACCTCTGCATATAAAAGGTTTGATATAGCACCCGATGCAAACTCAGTGCTCAATCTTAACAGCTCACCATCATCACCGTCATCACCATCATCACCAACATCACCATCACCATCATCGCCAACATCATCACCATCACCATCATCATCACAATCATCATCATCATCCATCCAAGCAAAAAGGGGAGCAGATCACTTCCTCTCTTATTCCTTCAACAATTCTTACACGCTCTTGTTTTGCACCTGGCACACTGTTGGGATTTTTTTTTTAACCACATCTGTCCCCATTACTATAAGTCCTTGGAGGGCTGATACCATATTTTATTCATTTATGACAGGGGCAGGGCCAGAGGAGAGGGAGGTAGGCAGGTATGTGAAGGAGGCAGAGTGGGGATGGACTGTTATTTAAGAGGTAGAAGCAGATTAACTCTAGAAAGAGAACTGTCTTTTGTTTGGAAAACATCTGATTGGATATTTTGCTGGTGAAAAGCTAGGACGCAGGGCGAGATCTAGAAAGAAGAGATACACACAGAGACTCAGATTACCTAGCAGAGGAAAATGAGAGAGGTGTCTTGAGATCTGGGGGAAGACAGAGAAGTGGAGAGCAAAGAGGTCCAGCAAGGGAACTAAACCTGTGTGAGGAGAGATTTCCAAGCACGAGGGACACTAAGGACTTTTTTTTATAAAGAAAATAGATGCCTATTATTAAATCTTTACTTTTCATGCCACCTGAATTATTGGCAGTGATTAATTCAGAGAAACAAGGCTTGAGATTATAGGGCCAGAAAAATTTTTCCCTTCTCTTCTAGGTTTTTGGCTGGTCTACTAATTAAATCGACATAAGACAGATTAACAGGAAAATTTAATTTTGTACATAGCTGAGCCTTATAAAAATATGAGACTCAAAGGCAGTCAGGCAATTGAGGTTTATATATGCCATTCTGAGCAAAAGAGAGGACAAGGGTCTGAGGCT